ATAATAGCAAAACCAAATAGTGTGAGTAAAATTTGGAATTTATTTGGCCTTATTAAAAAACAAGATGACAGTATAATAGATGGAATTGTTTATTGCCGAAAGTGCAACAAAATTTTAAAATATAATGACAAGCAAACCTCAAACCTCGTTCGTCATAGATGTTATATTGAAAGTAATAATATTGGCGAACGAGAAATAACACATGTAAATACTGAAGACACAGAGAGTGTACTGCATGCCTGTTCTCAATGGGCGATTGAAGATTGTCGGCCTTTTTCATCGGTAGATGGAAAGGGCCTCAAAAAAATGGTTCAAAAATTGATCGATATTGGGGCAAAGTATGGAAGTAATATTAACATTGACGACCTGATTCCGAATTCAACAACAGTACCACGTTATGTAAACGACATAGCAACGGAAAGAGAAAAACAAATAACTCGTGATTTGCGCCCTATTATTGCCGAAGGAGTATCAATAATTAAAATTAAAGAAACTTTTTATGCGCCACTTTACATTTTCACGAAAATAGCCACCTCAAAGAGTTAGTGGAAAATATTTCAAAAAAAAATCAAAGTACTTTTATCGGATTTTGAAATTAAAGATATGAGAAATGTGATATTTGTAAGTGATCGGAGTTCCAACATTATAAAAGCGTTAAAGGACCACGAACGCATAAACTGTGCTAATCATTTGTTTAACAATGTATTGGAAGCTGCATTCCAAAATACAGAAGAGCTACATACAGCCTGTAAAAAATTGGTCAAATATTTAAAAAAATCAAATTTGCAGCATCTGTTAAACACATCATTAAAGAACTATTGCTCTACACGTTGGAATTCTTACTACAAGTTATTCAAGTCAATTTTAAAAAATTGGTTCAAAATAAATGAAATACTTACTGGTAACAATGAAATGTATAGATTAACAGATATACATTTCTCAATGTTAAACAGGTTGGTTGAACTTTTTGATAAATTTGTCATAATTAATAGGAAACTGCAAGGAGTAAATTATGTAAGCATTAATTATGTATACCTTTCAATGAATAGTTCAAGACAAACATGTACACAAGTAAATGAACACACCCCACCTATACGAAAACTAAAAGAAAATATTTTGAACCAGATTGAAAGTAAGTGGCTTCTAAATTTAAGCATCTACCACAAAGCAGCTTGCTTCCTTTATCCTCCAACGAATTCTTTCTTAGAACCAAATATAATTAACAGTGTGAAAGATTTCTGTATTGACACAATTTTATGTAATGACATTATACATACAAACTCTTCAATTTCTGAAAATAATACTAACAGACAAGATGAGGATTTCAATTTTTTCTTCTCAAGTGTTGTTCCTACTGGAATAGAAAATGAAATCAGTTAAATTCAAATTTATTTTTATTGTATTTTCAATCTTTTATAAATGTTAATATTTTTGTTTTTAAAATTGAAGCGCACGTGTGACGCATTTTGTCTCTCTTCTTTTCCGTCGTTATCAGTCTTAATCGACAAAATTTCAATCTTCCGCTAGTCGCCGTATCGTCTGCATTTAAGCCTTCAATTTCCACCACGCCACGTGTAATTTTCGCCGCATTCTTGTATGTACGCTTTTTATTTTATTTACCTTTATTTACATTCTTTCGCATTCTTTATAATTTTCTTTATTAATTGCACGATTTGCATTCATTGCAACCGCTTTCGCATTAAAGTTATATTTTTGATTTTATTAATAGAATTTAATTATTATTTTTTTGAATCCTTTTCTTTTTTTTAACCGGCACCTCGCATTTTAGTTCGACAATTTTCCTTTTTTGTACGAACATTAATGGTCCTTCGAGCCGGATCCAGTTACGGTTCTTGATTTTTTCTCCGCTTCTGTTATTTTCGCCTATTGGCTTCTTCAGTGGCTAGCGTGTTTCTGGGTCCTTCACTGAACCGAGTAGGTGATCGACACTACTAGACGCACGATGCTACGACGCTCCTATACGTTATTCTTATTAATTTTACGCATTTTCATTAATTTACAACGCACTCTAAACTCCTTTGTCATTTTTGAAATCCGCTTTTTTGTACGCTCACATCTGGAGCTCACATCTGGAACGAGATTTATTCTTATAATCTGTTTACAATAATTTTCGCAATTTATATAGATTGGTCCGAAATTTCATTCACAAGTTATATTGATATTTTCTTTCGGTTTTTACAATGGCTGATAAACTCGCGAAGATTCTTCTACATCGAATTAAATCAACTTATCGAAACATTGGGCTGTGGCCGCAGTCTCACCACTGCACCTGAAGACGAATTGGTTTTTGTTGCACGTGCTGGTGATATAGAAAATACTTACAGACAGTTTCAATTATTGCATAATCAAGTTATTGGTTTAATTACCGAGGAAGAGTTTGATGAGCATGATCGTATTCGCCAACGGGCAGATAGCGCGTATTTTTCTATAAAAGCAATTCATCAGAGAATCAAAGATTCTCATATTACTGAAGAACCACCTACTACTCTCGAGTCTTCAAAGTTGAGCAAAATTATGTTACCAACATTTACTGGTGATTTCAAAGCATGGCCAAGTTTCCTCGATTTATTCCGCTCCATGGTGCACGAAAATAAATCCTTTTCGGATGTTATTAAATATCAATATTTATTGATATCATTATCTGGTGAGCCATTACAACTCATCAAAGGGTTGCCTATGACGAATGATAATTACCCTATCGCGTTTGAGATGCTTAAGAGTAGGTATCAAAATAAAAGGCATCTTGCCACACTGTACTACAACGAAATACAGGGTATAACAATAAAACAAGAGGGTTCCGCTAAAGCCTACCGTTCATTAATCGACACATTCACAGAAAATGTGGAAGGGCTCAAGACTCTCGGATTTCCTGTTGATTCATGGGATTTCTTATTGTTCAATATCCTATTACAAAAATTAGATACTTCTATTAAAACTAAATTTGAAGTTGAACATTGCACGTTTGAAATACCTACATATTCGCAGTTGATAACTTTTCTGGAAAGTCAAGCTAAAGCATTGGACTCTGTTAAGCTTACTTCATCAAACTCCAAAAATATAAAACCTAATCTCACTCGTCAATCCAAGCCCAATTCAGCAAGCTTCGCCACTGAAACAAAATCTAAGCCAAGTAATTTTAATTGTCCTTTATGCAACGATGTTCACAATTTATACAAGTGTTCAAAGTTTCATGGCAGAACACCCGCACAACGATTTGAATTTGTCACTAAGACCAATCTTTGCAAAAACTGTTTAGGCTGTCGACACTCCACCAGTAAATGCAATTCTACGAATGCTTGTCGTATCTGTAATAAACGTCACCACACTTTATTACATCTGAATAACCCAATGAATGAGAATACTTTAACATCTAACATGCCATCACAATCCCCATCGAATACAACTGTTGGATCTGCGTTAAATTCCATGATGACCGTATTACTTCCTGTCGCTGAGTTGGAGGTCCGGGATCGTTTTGGAACCTTTCACAAAGTTCGGGCGCTTTATTACTGAACGTCTGCAAAGGAGACTTCAACTTGAAAGATGTAAAAGTTCTGTCACTATTGAAGGATTGAATAGCATGAGTTCCAATTGTAATGGAGGTTCTATCGCCTGCGCTATCAAACCCTGCAACGCTCTTCAACCCATTTTAGAATTTACAGCTATAATTAGCCCTAAAATTTGTTCCAATCAACTCAAAGAACCGATTGAACTATTAAACTATCCACATCTACGTCATCTTAACATATCTGTCGGCCAATCGTCTCCCGGTCCCGTCGATCTACTCTTGGGAGCTGAACTGGTTCCCTCAATACTCACTGGGGCCCGAAAAATTGGTACTCAGAATGAGCCCGCGGCGCTGGAGTCTATTTTCGGATGGCTTCTGATTGGTAAATCGAACAATTCTTCAGTGTCTACATCCAATCTCACATTGTTCATCGAACCTACAGTAGATTTTTGTCTTCAACGATTCTGGGAATTGGATCAGGTGAAGAACGCTGTAGCAAAATCACCTGAGAATGTTTTATGTGAGAAACACTTTAATTCTACGTATCATCGCAACACTGAGGGCCGCTTTGTGCTCGCTTTACCATTCAAAGATGAACAACCATCTCTTGGACATATCTTTCGCAACAGCATATGTCCCCTGTTCCCAAAGATGACTTCTGCAATCCCAAAGCCTATTATATCCCGCATCATTACGTCATACATCCTAGCTCGTCCAAAATACGCGTCGTTTTCGACGCATCCGCCAAGACCACATCAAATAAATCTCTAAACGATCTTTTATTGACTGGGCCTAAATTACAACAAGATTTGGTATCCATTCTAATTACTTTTCGATGTTTTCCCAACGTATTTATCTGCGACATCAAGCAGATGTACCGCCAAATTCTCGTCGCCCCGCATCACCGTGATTATAAGCGTATCATCTGGAGAAATGCCAATGACGGTGAAATCAACGAATATAAATTAAATACAGTTACGTATGGTATGTCCGCATCTCCATTCCTGGCATTACGCGCTCTGCAAGAATTGGCCAATATATACGAGATGCAATATCCTGAAGCTGCAAATGTTATCCGGAATTACATGTACGTCGATGACATCGTGACAGGAGCATTTTCCGTGTCTGATGCGGTGAACCTGCAGCATCAAATAATCGATCTATTGCGTTTAGGGCGCTTCGAATTGTCCAAATGGGCAAGTAACACGCCGGAGTTGATCCAACCTTTCAAACTCCAAGAAGAAGGAACGCCAATTTCTCTAATAGTGAAGAAATCGACTTCGTAAAAGTATTGGGGCTTAATTGGAATCCGCACGCTGACACTTTTGGCTACTCATATGTCCTACGTGACACTCTCTGCAGCAAAAGAGCCATTCTGTACACCATCGCTCGCATTTATGATCCCATGGGATTTATTACTCCATGTATTTTATCCGCAAAACAATTAATACAAAAACTATGGTTGGCGAAGATGGAATGGAATGATGTTCCTTCAGAAGATATCCTTAAATACTGGACACAATTCAAGTCAGAGCTTCCTTTATTGACGAAATTACACATACCTCGTTTCATTCGACCCACGAGCAGTGAAGTCACTGAACTGCATTTATTTTGCGACGCTTCATTAATTGGTTATTGCTCGGTTGCATATTTACGATATATTTTACCTTGTGGTACCATTAAAACTTCTTTTATTTGTGCCAGGTCCAGGGTGGCTCCTTTAAAAACTACATCGCTACCACGATTGGAGCTATGCGGTGCTGTTTTATTGGCCGATCTCGCAGAATTAATCATGTCCAGTACATCTGTCATTACAACGACTAATGTAATTGCTTGGTGTGACTCTACCGTCGTACTCAATTGGTTAAGGGCATCTCCTCACCGCTGGAAGACCTTTCTTGCCAATAGAACCAGCCACATACAAGAAATCTTACCTGCAAATTACTGGCGTCTCGTTCCATCCGCTGATAACCCCGCAGACGTTGGGTCGCGAGGTCTTTTACCTTCGGAAATAGTCAAATCTAGTATATGGTGGGATGGTCCTGTTTGGTTGTCGCAATCCTCGTCCAATTGGCCTCACGATGCTTCGATAGATTCCGATGATGATGTCGTGTCAGCCGAAGAACGAATCATTACCGCTGCGATTACTGAAAGGGTTCAAAATTGTATACTTACCTTGATCGAGCGTTTCTCGAATTTAAATAAAATAGAGAATATAGTTGCATATGTACTGCGCTTCATTTCAAGTTGCAGAAAAACAAATAGACATAGAAATGTAACGCTTTCGCTATTTGAAAAGCAGAATGCCCTTCATGTCGTCGTTCGTTTGGTCCAGAACGAACATTTCGAAGAAGTATTTCAGCAAATTAGAGCTGGCAAGCTATTATCCAAACCAATTAGAAAACTCTCGCCTTTTATTAGCAGAGAGAACTTACTCAGAGTGGGTGGACGACTCAAACATTCAGAACTCCCATATGACGCAAAACACCCAATTTTACTGCCTAGTCGTCATCGATTGTGTGAACTAATTGTAGAACATCTTCATCAAAAGTATCTACATCCCGGTTACAGAACATTATTTTCTATTGTTACCAATCAGTTTTGGATAATTTCACCTCGACATGTAATATATAAAGTAATATCTAATTGCATTAGATGTTTCAGAGCCCGTCCTAAGTCCTATTCACCAATGATGGCGGATTTACCTACATTTCGTGTCCAACAGTTGAGAACATTTGCGACGGTGGGTGTGGACTACGCTGGCCCATTCATTACCACCGCCCGCAAGTATAGAGGTGCAAAAACATTCAAATCTTATATCTGCATTTTCGTTTGCGCCTCCACGAAAGCTGTCCATTTGGAATTGGTGTCCGAATTGACCAGTGACGCATTTATTGCTGCCTTGCGACGATTCATATCACGCCGAGGAAGTTGCACTACTATATTTTCCGATCGTGGCACAAACTTCGTCGGAGCCTACAACCAACTGACGAAACTTGCCCAAGATGCCGGCGGTGAACTAGGCATACAATGGCTTTTTAATCCACCTGCTTCGCCGCATTTCAACGGACTCACCGAAGCGGGCGTTAAATCTGTCAAGACCCATCTACACAGAGTCGTTGGTAAACAAGTTATGACTTACGAAGAGCTTTATACTTTGTTGGTACAGATTGAGGCAGTATTAAATTCCCGGCCTCTATGCCCTTTGAGTGCCGATCCAAACGATTTACAAACCCTCACTCCTGGTCATTTTTTAGCCCTTTCCCCTCTAAACTCTGAAATTCCTAATGATGATTTGCAGAATATACCATCCAATCGACTCACGCGATGGCAACTGTTGCAAGGAATGCTTCAGCACTTTTGGAAAAGATGGAGCAATGAATACCTGCACACGTTGCAACAACGGTGTAAATGGAACGTTCCAATAAAAAATATACAGGCTGAAACCCTAGTATTAATCAGAGATGAACTGAAAACTCCATTACAATGGGCCCTTGGACGGATAACACAAAGTCATCCTGGCGCAGACGGTATTGTGCGCGTCGTAACCGTTCGCACTACGCAAGGGTTATTACAACGCCCTGTAATAAAACTTTGTCCCCTACCTTCAGAAACTTAAAATTTTGTTAATCGCATTTTTACCGTTTTCTTGTTAATTAATTCATTGTTTTGTTTTGTTTAAAAACTGTTGTTTTTCGGTGGGTGAATGTTCCTACCGGAATAGAAAATGAAATCAGTTAAATTCAAATTTATTTTTATTGTATTTTCAATCTTTTATAAATGTTTTGTTTGTTTCATTTTGTCTCTCTTCTTTTCCGTCGTTGTCAGTCTTAATCGACAAGATTTCAATCTTCCCCTAGTCGCCGTATCGTCTGCATCGTGTGCCTTCAATTACCACCACGCCACCTGTAATTTTCGCCGCATTCTTGTATGTACGCTTTTTATTTTATTTGCCTTTATTTACATTCTTTCGCATTCTTTATAATTTTCTTTATTAATTGCACGATTTGCATTCATTGCAACCGCTTTCGCATTAAAGTTATATTTTTGATTTTATTAATAGAATTTAATTATTTTTTTGAATCCTTTTCTTTTTTTTAACCGGCACCTCGCATTTTAGTTCGACAATTTTCCTTTTTTGTACGAACAAGTGTAATTGAAAAGCGTAAACTGTCCAATAGAGAAGTAATAGAGGACGAAGTACAACGTTATAGTACATCAAAAATTAGTGTAGATGTAAATTTTGATGTACTGAAATGGTGGAATAACCATGCATCGGAATATCCCAATTTATTTAGAATTGCAATTAAAATTTTGTTTTCCTGCGAGCAATGCTGCTTCTGAACGAGTATTTTCTATGGCGGGAAATTTAATTACCGAGAAAGAAATCGTTTGGGGCCAAATAATGTTAACAATTTACTATTTTTAAATTCATTATGTAAATATAAAATTGATTCAACATTATAAATTTAGTTTTTGAATATTTTTCTATTATCTTCTATTGTTTGGTTAGTTTTCATGAAGTTTTGATAAAATAGTTTATAATAGTTTGGCTACCTAATGAATCTATTTTTTATTCTTGTTCTATTGTTTAAGAATTTTTAAAGTAAATTTTTTTCATTAAATATTTTTTTTTGTTTGGATAATCCTTGTTTTCCAATGTGATGGTGTATCGAAAATGACTTTACTAATTTCATCTCGAAAAAACCGTTAAAATTTTTGAATTAAAACATAAAAATCTTAAAATGTAAAAGATTATGAAAGATAATTAAACATGTGTTGACGTAGTTAATATAAATTTTTGCGATTTTAAGTAATTAGTTAAATTTGCATTACATAGTCAACATTAAATGATTTTGCACAAATTTTGTGATTTTAAATAATTTTACTCATTTTGAATATTTTTGATAATTTTTAAACAGTTTTTTACCACTTTTGCACTTCTTCAGCAAAATTTTAAATTTCAATACGTTATACGGAACTTCTCAAATGTCTTATTCGCGAATGGTTCTAAACCATTCGCTGCTTTTAAATGAGCACGGCACTACATGATTCACACTTCTGTTGACGAATGAATAAACCATAGCAACAGCGAATTGATTAATATGATTCGACATGAGAGCCATTTGGTGCAGGTCTCGGAGTCGACAATAAAGTAACTTAAGAAAGAACACCACACAATATGATTCACAGTAACTATTGACGAATGAAGGCAACACTCAAGCAACGAATCAGAGAATATGATTCACTATGTGAGCCATTCGCTGCAGGTCTCTGTTTCACAGAAACAATACTATTTATTGTAAACATTAATTGTTATGTTTTTACATTTCGAAATACTTATTCCAGATGAGTAAACACGGTGTTGAAACTGACAATTCAAAATTGTCAACAATCATTTCAAAATGTTTTTGTAAATGTCAAATAGACTTTTCTAAAGAAATAGATTTTTTAGTAATTTTTAGCAGTCGTAGATAAAATGCTGTATATCACACGTGGGCTAGAGCATAATTACAGTACTCGTATGATTACACAATTTTTCACACTCGTACAGTAATTATGTTTCTAGCCCACTTGTAATATAAATAACTATTTTATATTTATCTTGTTTTTAAATTTTTAATTGGTACCTAAAGCCATCTACAGTGTGTCCACGGAGGTGAAACGACGGTTATAAAAGATAAATTTTTTTCGATACTAATTGTCATTTTTTGGCGAAATTTTCCACATTGATGCATCTGGAAGCAAAAATGTTACAGACCATTGCGTTAAGGGTACAATTTGCAACAACTTTTGTAGTAAAAGTTTTTCTGTACAACGCTTCCGATACCGTTTTTTTCAACACTCTTCTATTTTTAACATTTTTGAAAAATTCTCCACATTGATGTATCGGGAGTAAAAATGTAACAGACCATTGCGCTAAGGGTACAATTTGCTACAACTTTTGTAGTAAAAGCTTTTCTGTATTATACTCCGGATACCGGTTTTTTTCAACACTCTTCTATTTTTCACATTTTTCAAAAATTTTCGAAATTGATGCATCTGGGAGCAAAAATGTTACAGACCATTGCGTTAAGGGCATAATTTGCTACAACTTTTGTAGTAAAAGTTTTTCTGTATTGTGCTCCGGATACCGTTTTTTTTCAACACTCTTGTAATTTCCANCTCAAACATTCAGAACTCCCATATGACGCAAAACACCCAATTTTACTGCCTAGTCGTCATCGATTGTGTGAACTAATTGTGGAACATCTTCATCAAAAGTATCTACATCCCGGTTACAGAACATTATTTTCTATTGTTGCCAATCAGTTATGGATAATTTCACCTCGACATGTAATATATAAAGTAATATCTAATTGCATTAGATGTTTCGGAGCCCGTCCTAGGTCCTATTCACCAATGATGGCAGATTTACCGACATTTCGTGTCCAACAGTTGAGAGCATTTGCAACGGTGGGTGTGGACTACGCTGGCCCATTCGGACTACCGCCCGCAAGTATAGAGGTGCAAAAACATTCAAATCATATATCTGCATTTTCGTTTGCGCCTCCACGAAAGCTGTCCATTTGGAATTGGTGTCCGAATTGACCAGTGACGCATTTATTGCTGCCTTGCGACGATTCATGTCACGCCGAGGAAGTTGCACTACTATATTTTCCGATCGTGGCACAAACTTCGTCGGAGCCTACAACCAACTGTCGAAACTTGCCCAAGATGCCGGCGGTGAACTAGGCATACAATGGCTTTTTAATCCACCTGCTTCGCCGCATTTCAACGGACTCACCGAAGCGGGCGTTAAATCTGTCAAGACCCATCTACACAGAGTCGTTGGTAAACAAGTTATGACTTACGAAGAGCTTTATACCTTGTTGGTACAAATTGAGGCAGTATTAAATTCCCGGCCTCTATGCCCTTTGAGTGCCGATCCAAACGATTTGCAAACCCTCACTCCTGGTCATTTTTTAGCCCTTTCCCCTCTAAACTCTGAAATTCCTAATGATGATTTGCAGAATATACCATCCAATCGACTCACGCGATGGCAACTGTTGCAAGGAATGCTTCAGCACTTTTGGAAAAGATGGAGCAATGAATACCTGCACACGTTGCAACAACGGTGTAAATGGAACGTTCCAATAAAAAATATACAGGCTGGAACCCTAGTATTAATCAGAGATGAACTGAAAACTCCATTACAATGGGCCCTTGGACGGATAACACAAAGTCATCCTGGCGCAGACGGTATTGTGCGCGTCGTAACCGTTCGCACTACGCAAGGGTTATTACAACGCCCTGTAATAAAACTTTGTTCCCTACCTTCAGAAACTTAAAATTTTGTTAATCGCATTTTTTACCGTTTTCTTGTCTTATTAATTAATTCATTTTTTTGTTTTGTTTAAAAACTGTTGTTTTTCGGTTTGTGAATGTTCCTACCGGAATAGAAAATGAAATCAGTTAAATTCAAATTTATTTTTATTGTATTTTCAATCTTTTATAAATGTTAATATTTTTGTTTTTTAAATTGAAGCGCACGTGTGACGCATTTTGTCTCTCTTCCTTTCCGTCGTTATCAGTCTTAATCGACAAGATTTCAATCTTCCGCTAGTCGCCGTATCGTCTGCATCGTGTGCCTTCAATTTCCACCACGCCACGTGTAATTTTCGCCGCATTCTTGTATGTACGCTTTTTATTTTATTTACCTTTATTTACATTCTTTCGCATTCTTTATAATTTTCTTTATTAATTGCACGATTTGCATTCATTGCAACCGCTTTCGCATTAAAGCTGTATTGATTTTATTAATAGAATTTAATTATTTTTTTGAATCCTTTTTCTTTTTTTTTAACCGGCACCTCGCATTTTAGTTCGACAATTTTCCTTTTTTGTACGAACAATAGGCAATAAAGAAATAACTATAAATCTCGACTTGCTGAAACCAGCATTCATTTTTAACGATGAGATAACCTCTCATTTTGATGCCGACTTAATATAAAAATGAAAAGTCAGTACATTTTAGTGCGTCAGTTCACTAGTTTTTATTCAATTTTTAATTTATTATATTTTACAAGTTAATAAAAAGAATTTGATGATTTGTCGTAGATGAAGTAAGATAATAGATAATAGATATGTAAAACAACAACAAGACAAGAGGTCAATAAAAAACGTCCTTTATAAAATTACATCATAATTTTATTATTTTATAAAAGTTGGTCATACTAGACCACAGTTGAATTAAAATCAAACAAATTTATTTTATGTGTAAAAAGTGGCATAAAAAACGCATCACCTAAAATGGTGACCAGTTTCAAACTGCAATAACTTTTGAACGTATTGTTCGATTTGAATAACGTTTTTTTTATTTGGAAGGTCTACCCTTTGCCACTATTTCTGTGCTGCCTTCCCCATTTTTATTCATCTATGGCTCTACAGCCCGTATAGAACCTTGGCTTCTTTCAGCCTCTGCCTCCATTCATCCCTGTCCCTGGCCCCCCTGGCACAGTGGGGCGAAACGCTGTTTTGCTGACCAAAACCTATTTTATCAAACATTTTCAAATTAAGGGGGAAATGATAATTATAGGTACTAAAAAGAATGACAATTTTAGTACATAGGTCAAATTA